AAATGGACAATGACCCCAAGCATACTTCCAAAGTTGTGGCAAAATGGCTTAAGGACAATAAAGTAATGGTATTGGAGTGGCCATCACAAATCCCTGACCTCAATCCTATTGAAAATCTGTGGGCAGAACTGAAAAAGCGTGTGCGAGCAAGGAGGCCTACAAACCTGACTCAGTTACACCAGCTCTGTCAGGAGGAATGGGCCAAAATTCACCCAACTTATTGTGGGAAGCTTGTGGAAGGCTACCCGAAACGTTTGACCCAAGTTAAACAATTTAAAGGCAATGCTACCAAATACTAATTGAGTGTATGTAAACTTCTGACCCACTGGGAATGTGATGAAATAAATTAAAGCTGAAATAAATCATTCTCTCTACTATTATTCTGACATTTCACATTCTTAAAATAGTGGTGATCCTAACTGACCTAAGACAGGGAATTTTTACTAGGATTAAATGTCAGGAACTGTGAAAAACTGAGTTTTAAAATGTATTTGGCTAAGGTGTATGTAAACTCCCGACTTCAACTGTATGTTCCTAATACATCTGCATGATTTAGTATGCAGCATGTCATATATGACCTTCAATCCTTTAAGGTCTGTTAACGTTCTTGGTTAACGTTAAGTACTTGGTTGGTATTCTATGGCTCTAAGCTCTCGTTTGAGAACCAGTGTCCACAATAAGATTTTAAAAAGCAGTCCGTTGAAACATTTAAGGGTATAGCTAGCTCTGTTTTGAACAATAACCTCTATCTAGCATGTACATGTTCAGTGGTCTGTTTGCCCAAAGAGAAGGAATGCATGGTAGCTGGTAGGTGTGCATTTAAGATTCACAAGTGTAGCTTTTGAGGTGCAGCATTAGTACAGTACTACTCGTTCCTGCATTTTCTAAAAGAGGGCGGACCTTCTCTTATAAAAAAACATAAATAGAATCAGTGAAGGCAGGAACTTATTGAAAACAAACTACAGTACATGAGCCAACTTGCCCCCAATGAGCAACATACTATCAAACAGGTTGCACTACTTCCTCCCCATAAACCAAGCGTTTGATTGGTAATCTGTTTTATGCTTGTTTTGACTGGATGAAATTCAATCCGGCTAGACTTGGAACAGGCAGTTTCCAATGAGGTGAAGTATGTAGTTTGGAGGAGGGGCGATAAAGTGAAGGACAGAAACTGGGAGAGTGAGGGTGTGAGTAGGGGAAATGTGTAAGGTGTCACACCCTCATGTCTGTGACAAAAGGCCTCCTCCCCTCCCTCCTCTTCTCCTTCCTACTCTGCATGAAGAAAAGCTATTTTCAATCAAGAATGAAAGAGCAATATCCGCCTCTTCATTCAAGAGGGAAAGCAAACATTTGCAGCAGAGGTAATTGACTAGAGAGAGCATTGATTCAGGAAACATACTTGATGTTTTGACCAAAGTCCTTAGCAGTCAAAAGTATTTGCAGACTTCTATAGCATTTACAGTACATTCACAGAAAATATTTTGTTATTCATTCCAGGTAAAACTGCACACACACACACACACACATTACTGGTCTGACCTTAGAGTTCTACAGAATGGACACATATTTCCCCTGAATGTTCTGTTTTGCCGAGAGAGGGGTGGGGTGAGAGGCGTTAAAGAGGTTGGGGGGTTGTGGAGGGTAACAACGAAACAAGATACAAGTGATCTCATCCCTTCTCTCCTTCATTCATCCCAAGCGCTTACGAGTTGCCCCGGCAACAGCGAGCACCACTGTGTGTGTGTGTGTGTGTGTGTGTGCATGCGTGCGGGGGCCTGCAAATCCACAGAGTGAAAATTATGTGTCATCAGAGAGGATTAGTAGCCCACGGTTTAGTCAAGGGCCTTTCGGTTGGATCCGCCGGTCGTGTTCGAGAGTGTTTCATCCCATACACAAACAGACTGCACACCAGAAACCCGAGATGGTGTCCAACAAAGACACGGATGGTGAAACGAGAGCGGGGGCTGAAATTGATTTGGTCATGAACACTGAAACAAGAAATCTGTTGCATGTTCTTACACAACTGAAATGTGAAAAGGATTGGGCGAAAGGGGAAACTTCTCTGAGCCCGTGAGGGACAGAGTAAGATGCAGGGCTAATCAGAGGCACTGTCACTCTCTCTTTTTCTGGCTGCCTCTGTGAGCTCTCTCTCTCTCTCTGCACATGTGTTTGTGTCTGCTGACTCTTAATATCCGTTTCTCTTCCTGTTGGTCTTTCCTTCTTTTTCAACCCCTTCTTTTCTCCCTCTGGATACTGTTTGCTCTTCCCCCTCTCCTTGTCTTTCTCCCCCCCCCCCTCATACTTTACCTCTCCATATCTCTCCCTTTTTCTACCACTTCTCCGTTATTGTTTCTGGTTCCCATCCCTCTTTCTATCCCCCTCCGCGTTCTATCCTTTTCTCACTCTGCTCTCTTCATTGCAGCTGACTGTTGATAAACCTCACAGCGTCGCTCCCTAACCGTACCGCAGGAAGTTTCCTGTGCTGAAACGGAGCCCATGCTGGATCGCTTCCTGCCCAAGTGCGTTGTGGGACACGTTTGTTTGGGCCCCCTTCCTCCTCCTTCTCCCCCCACTCCTTCCTCCACTGGGCCCTGTGCAGATGGCTGGGTCCGGCAGGCCGGATCTCAGAGGGGTTTTGGCAGCGTTGTGCCTTCCTTCTCTTGTTCCCCTCTCTCTCCAGCCCTGTAGAGAACATACCACGGCAGTGACCTCACAACCAGGGCCTCCCTGCACGCTGTACACATCACTAAGGTCATGTGATTAAGGGGTCACCCGTAGGCGACACAGCTGGTGGATGCTGAGCATATGGTAATTAGATCTGTTCTCTTGTTAGGTGATACTGGTAACTTACTGATGGCGTTTCTGTTTTCACCACGGGAGTCAATGGCTTTGTTTGGTTGTTCAATCTAAAATCCAGAGCTGGTATTAGAAAAATACATCTAGATTGGAAGGGTAAAAGGATATGAAAACATATTTCATTGGGACATTGTTTGGCATTCTAAAATTCCTACAAACAATGTTATTCTTGAACACTGGTATCCAACTGTTATATGATTTACACCTCTTTACTCATAAGAGGGCTCTTTACCTGTCATATGTTACCCCTCGGGGTGCCAATTGGCCCCTGTGACAATCTGTAGTATTTTTCTGACTTTGGTTCTGGCTTGACTGTTTGTAGAGACTATGTAAGTAGACACTGTGTACCCTGTGTAGTGATGGAATAGACTACATAAAACATTCCATGACACATCTACTCATCAAGTTGTTCACTGTGGGTTATGTCCATAGGCTATATTCAAGATAAACTTTCCCTTCACAAGGCTATCACAAGCCCTGCCAATGTCTCTCTCTCTCTATCTCTATCTTTCTGAATATGGAAATGAAGAGGGAAATGGGAAACTGGCAATCTAAGAGAGGTTTCTTTTTATATTGATTGTTCCCTGTATAAAACGTCCTTTGTTTGACGGGTGGGGGGAAGCGATCACTCTGAAACAGAGCACGGGTTCCGATTACTCGTGTGACATTGACATTGCGCGCGCCGCCGGCCAAAGATAACAACTGTCCCATTCCAAGAGGAAGTGTTTGAGGCCTGGCGATAAGTGAGACGTAGAAACTGCCGCTTTTTGTCTGGTGTGGGCGTGATGGATGCTGCTCTGGTGGTTTGCTCTGTGTGTGTGTGAGGGAGTCCATGAGGTGAAGCACAACGATACTGTAAATCCTAGTACAAATACACAGGTATATTCATGTAAATATAGGCCACCCAGTACCCAATGACATCATCTAGATCAGGGCTCTCAACCCTCTTCCTGGAGAGATACCCTCCTGCTACAGACGCCAGAGAAAACATTTCCTGACACAAAACAACACTGACTTTTCTGTCAATGATTTATGTGCTAAACATATAGTAATCCCTATTGCAATATGATGAGCAAGACTGGGAAAACAATATGACTTGACTCATATGCCGTATAAACCCATGGTAAGGCTTTCCAGCTGATATGAATTACATGCTATTTACTTTCAGACATCCACTGCTCTCTGATTACCGCAGTCAAACACACCATTGTTTTTTTACATTTTAGCAGACGCTCTTATCCGGAGCTACTAGGGCACATCGACAGATTTTTCACCTAGTCGGCTCGGGGATTAGAACCAGCGACCTTTCGGTTACTGGCACAATGCTCTTAACCACTAAGCTACCATGGACAACACTATTGTGTGGGTTTAACGAAGAATGTAATGTGATTTTATGACATCCATTTCCTAAAAGAATGAATGGAATGCACCTCAAGGTTTGATTTAACCACATTGTTATTGTTTAGGTTACAAGGAACAAGGTTATCATTTTGTAAGTCATGGTCCTAGACACACATTTGTGGTGAGCGTTGATTCCTGGGCTATTGCTCATTGCAGTCAGTCACTAATACGTTTGGGCAATCCATCAGTGCAGATGTTTCACTCTCGTAAATTCCCACGGCAGTGAAATAAATATTTCAGAGACTGCAGGGTGAAAAATGTCAGCACTATTTCCTCTGGTATTCCTCAGTGTATCCTTGCCTATTATGCACTATGTATTAGATTAGTCTAATACACATTTATTCATACACTATGTTTTAGACTGACTGAGAGAAAGTCACAGGCTTTCCTTTGCAAACTACATGTCTACCAAGGTTAGCTCACAAATACTGACAAACATGAAGCAAATATGAAATGAATGTACTGTATGTGAGCACATGTCTGACTTAAGTTTCCTCTTTCTTGTTCTCCACCTCCTCCATTCCTGCACTTTGCTTATCTCACCTCATACCCCTTCTCTTCCCCCTCTCCGCTAATCCTCTAATCAATCCCTCTTTTACTTTGATCTCCTTCCCTCATTTCCCCTTTTACTGCCTACTCTGTCTCCTTCCTTCCTCTCTCCCTTTGCTCCTTCCTTTACTTCCCCCCGGTCTCCCCCCTCCTCTCTCATTCCTCTCTCTCTCTCCTACCACTCATCTCTCCCTCCACCCCCAGGCCTGCAGCCAGTGTTTTGGAGCAGGGAGGACGTGGGCCAGTGGCTGCGCTGGGCGGAGAGGGAGTTTGCCCTGCGGCCCAACACCAGCGGCAGCTTCCAGATGAACGGCAAGGCCCTGCTCCTCCTCACCAAGGAGGACTTCCGCTACCGCTCGCCCCACTCCGGTACGCCCACTTCCCACGGCCCTTGTTAAATCAAAGGGTTGCTATGTTATTATAACACATTTTTCTAACAACATGCTCATGTTTAACAATTAATTAATATTGAAGGGGGAATGACTTTGGAGAAATGGCACAGTGACCTAAGATAATAGTCGTGTCTAGAGCATACACTGAATGTCTTTGATAGACGATATTTGTAAAATATGTCAGTAGATCTGCTCAGCTGGAAGAAAGCAAGAGGAAGAACAATATCAGGCGATTCAGCAGCTGCCTTAGTGGAGTTGCTGTCTGTCTTAGTTGTTGGGGGGAGGAAGTAGGAGATTGGTTGGGTAAACGGCCGATCAGGAAGTGCAAACCGACCTCAACCGTCACCTGCTAACACCAGGAATTTCCCCTGCAGCGCTGTGTTAAACAGCAGGGCCAGAAAGTGAGAACTGAAAGGGGTGTATGTGTGCGTGTGTGTGTGTGCCTGTGGCATCTTCACTTCCTTGTGTGTGTGTGACTGTGTCTGTACGTGTGTGCTGGAGTGTGTGTGTGTGCCTGCGGCTTCACTTCCTTTATGAGAACCATTTCCTTGATGTTCTGACGGGAAGCCTCTCAAATCGAAGAGAAAAAAAAAAGTCCCTCCATTCTCTTTGAGGGGAAATACTCTCTCTGAGCCCTTCATATACAGGTAACGAGTTAAATCTTTCAGGGTGGCCTAGTAATGCAATTTTTACACATTGAGCATATACCGTGTTCTGTTACTGCCATCTCTGTTGTAGAAGACACTACAAGCTTTTTTTCATATTGTCTGACACAATCAACTTAGCCTTAACACAGGAATCTGGGAGTTACAAAGTGTTGGTGGGTTGATTGCCTAGATGGTCACGTCAGACCACTCATAGTACTTGAATTGTAGGAGGTATGGTGCTAGCAATCACTGACGTTGGCATGCTGAATCATTAGCAACGCTATGACCCTTGTCCTGATCTATTGGCATAATTTCCCATCTGTTTGGTCCAGACATGTTTTTAGACTCCAGTAAAGATCACTGGTCGGAGCCTGATCCTTTTGATGACATTGATTGACAGCTGCTGCCATGTCTATGTGGTACGCCATTGGAGGGGCTCATACGGTAACCTCTGACCTCTGACCTGTGTCTCCTGCAGGGGACGTCCTGTACGAGCTGCTGCAGCACATCCTGAAGCAGAGGAAGCCACACGTCCCCTACCCCTCCGCCTACTTCCCCGGCAACTCCTTTCACCCTCTGCCAGAGGGAGCTCTCCAGCACCACAAACTGGAAGGTCAGTGATGTTCAATAGGCACACTGTAGCAAAAGGCTTTGTAACGGCAAATGAAAATCTGTGTTCAGACAAGTTCAGGTTGTACATTACGTTTCACTCTCCCTACTGAACACCAGCCTGACGATGTTCCTGAGATCACACAAACTGAAGAAAGAATCGAGAGAGACGATTACAGGGAAGCGTTGAATTGAATGGGGGGAACACGGTGGCGTTGAGTTCAACAACTTTAGGATGGTTGTTGATTATTATAACGTGATCTTAGAGAGCCAGTTCCAATCAGACCAATATGAAATCGACTTATTAGCCTATGGGGGAAAAACGACAACATTTGAGGCCCACCATGGAGTGGAATATTGAACGTATGACCATTGCATCACTTTCCTGACATTATTATTTTGTTATTCATCAAACTTGTCTGGCCAGAAGGATTTCACAATTCTGTTCTTGTCAAGGGGAATTTGTCATGAGTAAATTCCCCTGAAGAACCCAACTGATCTGACTTCTGTTTCACAGGAGTTACTCAACAATCTTAGACAGTGGCTTCAATTCAAGTATTTAATTACACACGATCAGCGAAAATCAGTTGGTCATGTAGCAATACAATTGCGAGAAAGCATCTCAAGTTTGCTTTAAGTGAATCTGACAAAAGTAACGTGGTTCAATGGCCTACTCTAGACTCTAGAGAGAGGTGTTTAAGTCTCTGTTTACCATCCACCTGAAAAGGGGAGGGACTTCACCTTCTTCGTGCTACACTTTGGACTCCTTTCCCTGCCATGGATAGAAGGTTGAGGTGTGGGGTTGGAGTGTTGACAGTGAAACCTGCTCCACAAGGAAATGCTTCTATATTTAAACAATCTTTGGTCTAGCAGTTCATTATCTACAGTTCCTCATCTCTACATGATTTATAGGGGAAGTGATTGGGTTAGATGATTAAGATGCTCATGACTTCCTTGTTGTTTGGTAAGCAGAAGCAAAGATATTTATTTCTTGTAAATACTGTAAGTACTGTAATATCCTACCCAGTAGAGGGCAGTCCAAACCAATCACTAATAATCTACCACCCACATACATTGTGAGACATGATGACGTTTGTAAGTGGGTGTAGTGACATCTACTGGACGTCATGTAAATATGTTTGAAACATATGTCCTTCATTGCAGAAACGGTACGGCGGACACCACGTGGTACAGAGCCCCTACCCCAGCACCCTCCCACCATCGAGCTCCGACACAGCTCTCGCTCGCCAATCCAACCCACACCCCGCCTCTCCCCCCTGGACCCCAACCACCCACGCCCTGGTGCCGAGGACCACCTCCAGACGTCCTCCCAGCTGCCCGACAACAACCACCACTTGCCCGAGGACTTGTACACTCTGTCGGTGTCCCCGGTCACCCCTAACGGCCGCTGCGCCACGCCCCGCGAGGCCCCCTGCCCAGGCAGCCCCGGGTGCCAGGACGCTGCCCCCCATCGTGTCATCCAGCTCATGCCCAGCGCCATCATGCACCCCCTGCTGCTCAGCCCAGGGCGAGGAGGTGCTGCTGGAGACTTCAGGCATGGCCGTGGGGGGCCACCACTTCAGGCCCCCCATGAAAATGGGCGTGAGGGGAAAGGCCACATCCAGCTGGCACTGGCCCACCACCAGCAGCAGCAACATGCTCTGCATCAGCAGGAGGAGGCGCTGTACAGGAACCACCACGTCATCATGCCCGTCTCGCCACCAGAGGAGCAGGCAATGCCCATTGGACGGATAGCAGGTAACTAACGCTCCTAACTACTAAGGGTTCATCTTAGAGGGTGGTGTTCACGGCTTCAACCAACTCTGGATAAAGTGTGGCTAAAAGACAGCTAAAGTTGAAGTTAACAGGTACTGTGTTCCCAGACTGCAGGCTGCTGTGGGACTACGTCTACCAGCTCCTCTCAGACAGCCGGTACGAGAACTACATCCGCTGGGAGGACACAGAGACCAAAGTCTTCCGCATCATGGACCCCAATGGCCTGGCTCGCCTGTGGGGGAACCACAAGGTAACGAACTACACCCCCCAGTGTTTGATTGGAAAAGGCATTTTCCCACAGTGCTGGTTTTCTAAAAGTTCTGTGTTAAAGTTGTAAGTTGTTCCATTGGTTTTAACAGAACAGGACCAATATGACATACGAGAAGATGTCACGAGCACTGAGACACTACTACAAACTGAACATTATCAGGAAAGAGCCAGGACAGAGACTCTTATTCAGGTATGGTAGGGTTGAGTTAAAACCCAATAATGATTTGAAGTAAAAAAATATATACACTTGTCCAGTTTGAGTTAACTAATGATTAACCACTGTGTGTATGTGTGGTTCAGGTTCATGAAAACCCCAGATGAGATTATGAGTGGACAAACTGAAAGGCTGGATCACATAGAGTCTGACACAGACGATCAAATCTACATCAAAGAGGAATGCTGAGGCCTCTGGGAAATGGAGTCCACTAAAGGAATGAACTACTACAGCCGCTGATGCCTTTCGGAAAGCAGCTCGGACAATCGTCTCAAACCGAGAGCGCTCGGACATTCACTCTATCTAAAACTCAGAGGAACTTGAAGGTGACGTCTCTAGATTCCCTTTAAAACTTTAAGATTTTCTTTCCAGACAAATCTTATCAGTTGTTTTCTGTCTTAATGCAAGGAGTTCAAAGGACCTGGCGACAAGTATATCTCATGAGACTTTTAAAAAAGCATTCCTTTTCCCTGAACTGCCACAGCAAATCAATCATTTAATGTTTGTCATGTCATACATTGTTGATTTTTCTTCTCCACATGTGCATTAAGTATAAGAAAATGTTGCAATTTATGCAAATAATGGGAGGGTGTGTGTAGCTGGAACGTTTTCACCACAGAATAAATCTTTTTGATCAATTTGTATGGCTGACCTCTTTAAAATGCATCTGACCTTATTGCCTGAAGCATATGTCTAGCAATCATTCCTGAAACGATTGAATGAAGTGATATGTAGGCTAAATGTATTTTTTTTTCTTCTTTTTTTTTTTACATAAGACGTGAAGTTTGGAACTTTATTCTGAAACAATCCACATGGTGGCAATGCTGCACCACTTTTGACTGTAAACCATCATAGTTCACTGCACTGTAGACCAAGTCCAGTTCTATTGAAGTTAAAGTTCCAATGCAGCTGTTTTTATCTCAATATCAAATCATTTCCGGGTAACAATTAGTACAGTACTGTGGTTTTGTTTTCAATTAAAATTGTCAAAAAGAAACAAAAATAGCTTCTTAGCAAAGAGCAATTTCTCAAGCAAGAATTTTGCTAGGACTGTCTGGGAGTGGTCTGAGTGGGGAGGGGAAAACTGAAAACTAGCTGTTATTGGCAGAGGTTTGGAACTCTTTTTCTTATTGGTCTATTAACTAATGATGTCACCAGGCAGGCCAAAACTCCACCCCACCAAAACAGGCTGAAATTGTAGGCGGTCTTTTCAAACAGCTCTTACACTAAAAGGGCATTATTATAATTTTCACAATTTCACAGTATTATTCCATAGTGTGGCTGTGTGTATGTATATACACAGGAAAATCACGTTTTTGACTGCACTGGGCCTTTAAGAGGTTAATTAAAGTGTGTGCAATATCCAACAACACCTGTTCTCACATAAGACCATTAAAAGGTCTCAATACAATAGATATACTTATGCAAAACGGGTCTCCTAACACTCACATATGCCAAAGTTAAATCTTGCACATTACTAGACCAATGCAAATACTACCCCTAGGCTATGATGTCATGTCTATTACAACTTTTTAAGAATCATATTTAACGATATCATGATGCAATTCAATGTCATCAATCGAAATTCTCATTGCGTAAAACTGCGCAAAGAGATTTTTGTGTGGCCTCTTGATGTGATTGACCAATGTAGGCCTATTAGTGTGTTTACGCGAGTGGCGATGGATAGTGTTAGTGGCTTTGTGTGTGCTACTATGATGGGTTGTTCCCGAGTCTGTGATGAGCGCGGCGGTCGGTGGGTGTCTATCTGTATGATGATAAATTGGTGCGCACGGCGTGCATGCAGCTAGTCTCCGATGCAACTCAGTGGAATACAGACTGGTGCCGCAACTGAGGCAGAAGTCGGGACAATTTAACTTCAATTTTGATCTTATTACTCAATTTTATGTTAGATTATATTTTATTTTCTCTCACTTCAAGGTTGATCACACTCCGTTAAGACTGGGACAAATTAATGACAGTGTATTCACACATTGGACAATAAATAGCCTGACTCTCTATCAGAAAGCATAAGAAGAAGACGAGAAAGCACCTGTATAATTTGCTGTGCTCTATCAATCTACAGTCAAGTATTTGTTCCAAGAAAACGAGCAGTGTTTCTTTGTGTGCGCGGGGATTTAATTTTCGGATATCCATCACTGTGTCAAGCAATATTGGACCCGTCCTGCACAAATCTAGGCTGTGCTGATGTCGCCCGCGGACAGACGCACCGCTGGATTGTAGCAGTGCCGATGGATTAAAGGGCAACCTTAAAACCTTTGGAGGGCGCAAGGTGCGCGAAGGGAGCGGGGCAGCAGGTATGAAAAGATGCTTGATTTTAGCACACTTGGTCAATTTTGTGTGCCTGATAATGATGGGCTACTGACAAAAAAAAAAAATCTTTAAAAAAGTGTGCAGTCAAGCACTATTTTTTTTTTATTGCGTGTTACAAGAGAGTTAGGCTACAAGGAGCTCACCCACTAGGCACATATGTCATTTCAACGTCTAGTTTTGATTTACATTTGGTTGAGTTGTCAACTAACGTGAATTCAACGTGAAATGAACAAACAATGTCACCATGTCATTGGATTTAGGTTAAAAGTTGGGTGAAAAAAAGAGGACCTTTACTTAGTTGATGACTTTTTGCAAATCCAATCAGTTTTTCACCTTGATTCAATGGCATCACATTTGTTGTTGTTGAAATGATGTGGAAACAATTTTGATTCAACCTGTTTTTCAAGAAGTGCTTAACTTGAATCTTTTCAATATCCAATCAAGTCTGAAATAATTAGCGCGATAATGACTGGGTTCGCTTTAATCTTGATGTTGATCAGACTAGCTCACAGCATGAGTTTAATTGCCAGTCAATCGCCCTCATCTCGAGAAAGCGCACCTCGAGTGGTGTGTGGACCTCCATTTATTAGGCTCTGCCAACTGCATCCTTTCATTGTTTATTTTCTCTAGATCAAAAGTTGAACCACTGACATTTCTGGCATCATTGTAACTATTTAGATTATCTTTATAATTAGAAATGTAGTTGACAGGGAGTGAATAAATGCCCGCAGGAGATGTATGCTAATTCCAGATCTTGAATAGGCCATCTAAAACTGGTTCTCTTAAACCTTCAGAATCAGACATCCCTTAATCCTTCTGACCCCTTAATATGGTTCAACTGTCAAGTTGGTTGTCTATTTGGTCCTGGGGCCGTTAATCAGGGAAAACCATATATGGTGATCCTCCATCCACTCCTTTTATGCACAGACATCCATTGGTCTGCCGACAGTGCAACCATTGTTTATTCAGTGGGTTGCCATACAAGATAGAGATGCTGCTTCAACATTGGTCCACTGTCAAGATCCAATACTGAATAGGCTTGTAAATTAACAGGCTAAATGCATCCGAAAGGCAAGTGTGTCCGCTGGATAGCCATGCAACCTAATGACTAGCTGTTCAACACAAGACAGTATACCAGAACAAAAGCATAGGAGATTTATGTAGGCCAGCCGAAATCCATGTTTACATTTTAAAACAACAGGGATTCAAAACTACAAATCTTATCTCTCACTGTGGAGAAGCTAAATGTGTTCTGGTCCTATCAGCAAAACCTAGGGTTTCAATCAAATAGGTTGTCTGTCTCTTTCCATTTTACTGTGTATCTGCACCTTACACCCTCCATACCAATTCAGAGGCACATGAGGTGTTCTTGCATCACCACAAGTATCGTACAGATTTACTGAGAGGCTTGATATGAAATAGACTTTAAAATGTGGTCTCCTCCTACTGGCAGTCAGATAGAGCAAGTTAATGACAGCTTTGATACATACCACGATACACTATAGATGATGTAAACTAAATGTGGAGTCTGAAGAGCCTTGTGGTGTTCAGGGATGACGTTATCATAAATCTCAGTCAATAGAATATCTAAGCTGTTTGTCAGGCTGCTACTTAGAATATTCCATATTTTTATCTCTCCTGCTCATCTCGTCTCACACTGACATTGTTAATCAGATGACATGAGCATTTGTCACCAGTGACAATTATATTACACCTCAGGGAGAGGGCGTACAGGTTTCAAAGATGGGAAGAATTTGCCCACACAGGAGAGTGAACACGCACGATAGCGAACACGAACACACACACACACACACACACACATACACACACACAGGTGCATACATAGTAGTTAATCAACATCAATAACATCTACTGACACCTACCTTAACTCCCTCAAACAGACAATTGATGGGCACATGCCTGGCTCTTATCTGGCTACACTTATCTGAAATTCCCTCTCCAGCTGGGTGACCTGGTGCCAACTGTCTGCAGCTGTCTGGCCAGAGCCATATGATGATTCTCCAATGTCACATCCATGGTGTGTACTGTGCCCTTTCCCATTCAGGGCATTACCACTGATCCATCCATCTATGAATTTGAGAGTGGTTACATTTCCCTCAGCTCATTCCTTCATTTTATCAAACAAAGTGGCAGGGGTTAGGCTGTTGAAATGACAGATTTGTCACGCCCTGGCTCTGGGGACTCTGAAATGTTGAGCCAGGGTGTGTAGTTTCTGTGTTTTATTTTCTATGTTGATGTGCTAGATCGTTTAGATCTATGTTGGCCAGGGTGGTTCCCAATCAGAGGCAGCTGTATCTCGTTGTCTCTGATTGGGGACAATACTTAGGCAGCCTGTTTGGTACTAGTCGGGGTGGGATCTTGTTCCGTTAAGGTTTGTTTTGTGTAACCTAGGACTTCACGTTTCGTTTGTTTGTTGTTTTGTCGTGAGTTAAGTACTTAATAAAATGTACGCTTATCACGCTGCGCCTTGGTCCGTATCTTCCATTAACGATCGTGACAGAAGATCCCACCATAAAAGGACCAAGCAGCGTGCCCAGGAGGAGAAGCTGGCGATGGCTCAGGTGGGCGAATGGTGGTCATGGGAGGACATATTCGCGGGCAGAGGGCCCTGGGCAAAGGTACAGGCCCTGGCAAGAGAGGAGAAACGGCGCCAACCGTGCCGACGACGGACACGCGAGAGGCAACCCTAAGATTTTTTTTGGGGGGGGGCACACGGCATGGACGACGGGGCTGCTGGAGGCAGCTACAGGGCGCATCGGCGATTTAGGAGAGGAGGCCACCAGGTTTGGGGGGCTGGAAGGGTGGTTGGCGGAGCCTAGAGGTAGAGCAGAGCCAACTCCCCGTACTCAGGCTAGGCAGCGTGAGACTGGGCAGGTTCCGAGTTATGCGGAGCCACGTACTGTGCCGCGAGTGTTCCGGCACAGTCCTGTACGTCCTGTGCTAGCACCACGCACGTGTCGTGCTAAGGTGGGCATGCAGTCAGGACGGAGTGTGCCGGCTCAACGCTCATGGCCTCCAGTACCCCTCCTCGGTCCCGGATATCCTGCGCCAGTGCCACGTGCTGTAGTGAGTGTCAGTACGAGTGCACAGCCCTCTACGTCCTGTGCTGATGCCTCACACAGAGTGTGTGGAAATAGGCATTCAGCCAGGACGGGTTGTGTCAGCTCTCCGTTCCAGACCTCCAGTCCGTCTCCACAGTCCAGCCCGGCCTGTTCCTGTCCCTCGCACCAAGCCTGTGGTGCGCGTCGCCAGCCCGGTCTGGCCCGTTCCTGCTCCCCGCACCAAGCCAGTGGTGCGTGTGTCCAGTCCGGCACAGCCCGTGCCTGTTCCACCGGTGCCTGCCTGGTCCGGCACCGGTCAGCTGCTCCACTCCAGAGCCAGAGCAATCCGCTCCACCGGGGTCCTGTCCAACTCCAACTGTCACGCCCTGGCTCTGGGGACTCTGAAATGTTGAGCCAGGGTGTGTAGTTTCTGTGTTTTATTTTCTATGTTGATGTGCTAGATCGTTTAGATCTATGTTGGCCAGGGTGGTTCCCAATCAGAGGCAGCTGTATCTCGTTGTCTCTGATTGGGGACCATACTTAGGCAGCCTGTTTGGCACTAGTCGGGGTGGGATCTTGTTCCGTTAAGGTTTGTTTTGTGTAACCTAGGA